TTTTTTTTTTCAAAATTTCGGCAGAGTTTCAGAATTTTCTAAATACCTACCTACTCCTATTTTTTTTTTTTTTTTTTTTTTTTTTTTTTGATGAAGTATGAAGTAAATAGCATCAATTATTGACATGAACAAGACACCATTGCTCTTAACAACATTGTTAAGAATTTGCTTTCAATTTCTTTTCAATCTGTAGCATATTCACAGAATTATAAGGCAGGAATTCCAAGGCTTGAGATTTTCAAGCAAAAACTTGATCTGTTTATGGATACCTATGGTTCAAAGAAATAGATTAAGAGTCCTAATTTCAAGTTCAAGGTCATTGTGTTCAATAGAACAGGGTGCTACGCTACTTGGCCCAGTTATACGGGAACCATGGTTCTAATACCTTGCCATGGTCGAGTGGTAAGAGCACAACGCGTTATGTGTATGTTATGTGCACGTCACAAGTTTGAGCCCTGCCAGCTACCTTCTTTTTACACTGTACAATTGCAATTGCCTCACAAGGTAGGGGTAAGGTATGCGTACACACTACCCTCCCCAGACCCCACGGTGCGGGATAATACTGGGTATGTTGTTATTGTACTGTACAGTTGCAATTGATATTTGGAATATGTTTTATTCTATTTGGGCCATGCCAGCAAATTTGAAGGAAGCAATTGAAAGCTGGTGCAGATGGAAGGTTGATAAAGCCATCAGAAAAGTCAGGAAGATGATACCAGCAAGCATTTTTTGGGTAGTATTGACACAAAGGAATCGAAATGTTCTAATGGTATAACAACTTCTAATCATCCCCAAAAGCCAAATGTCTTTTGTTTTTATTATTTAGTTAGTATAACCTTTCCAATATAGATTCATCGGTTAAGTTTTTAGATTTTGATAGCTCCCTATGCATAGCCTAGCTTTTGTTATTTGTATTGGACCTAATTGCACCTTCTCGCAATCCTTTTTGGAACTGATTGCATCTTCTTGATGCCTTCAATGAAATTCTACTCCTAAAAAAGGTTTAAACATTGTTGCAACAAAAGTCTGGTTTTTAAGTGGAGAAAAGTAGAGGCGTGGGTTTAGCACTTAAGCCGCTGGGTTATCCAAACCCAATATTTTCAATGCCAAGCATATATATATATATATATATATGAACCTATTTGATTGGGCACGGAGTTTGAGAAAAAAAAGAGAAAAAGTTTAAACTTGTGGTGTAAAATGAGGCACATATATTTTGTGTGGCTATGAATCATTGCATAAAGGTAAATTATTTCCAAATATGGAAAGGGGTCATTCTTTTTTACACGGACTAAGTCATTGAGTTTACTTAAGTTTTTCAACTTTAAATTAGTTTCTCTATTAACTAACAATAATTTTTTCTAACCTATTAATCCATATATTTTTATGAGTTTATTTGGCTCACATACTATAACTATGATTTTTTCTAACCTATTAATTCTTGTATTTTTTATGAGTTTAATTAGTAATTTAACATACTAAGCTTTAATTTAATTACCAATTTAGGTATTGATTTAATTTATACTTAGTTGATTTTAACATTGCATAATTGGTGTAGTCCCTCGAGGGAGAGCTTAAGTGGGACCCACATGGTTATGGTAGCCTAAAGCCCTAAACATACTCAAATGTACACGTAAAATTCCTGAAAAATATCAGGCATTTGATACTCTTGTAGCAGTTAAAAGAGTCTCAATGTTTCAACAAATTTACCTAAAAACCAAAGTCATTTAGGGTGTGTTTGGTATGACGGAAAACATTTTCTTTCCCATTTTTCAATGTTTGGTTGCACAAAATAGTTTGGAAAATATTTTCCTAGATATCACATTTTCCAGAAAATGGAGGAAAATGATTTGCCTAGAAAAAGTTAGAAAACACATTTTCCAAAAACTCCACCTACTCTCACATCTAACCTCAACCCCCTTCTCGCCTCCCCGCCCACCTCTCCAAAAAAATTTATTTTTCAGATTTCAGTTTTGTTTCTTTTCCAACACCCACCCACCCCCGGAATTTTTTTTTTTACCTTTTTTTGTATTTTTCAATTTTCTTTTTTTTCGTTTTTTTTTTTACCTTTAAATATGGGCCGGGGATAATTTATCCGTTTTTTCATTATCCGTTTTCAACCCGTCACATATCCGACCCGACCCGACCGTTTGCCACCCCTAATGGTATCTAAGTGAAAAACCATGAGTTAATAATTTAATCATCAGAAAACTAAACAAGACTCCTTCATATGAACAATTTGTCAAACATTTATCATTCGAATAATACGACCAGCATACAGATTTTAAAGAGACATGATTTGTGCATAAAAGAAGATCCTAGAACATGGTATCTAGCATATTTTTAACTCAACACTCGGGGAAAGGAAATGGCATAAGCTAACAGCTCTAGAAAAAACCTATACTAGTAGTCACTTCTCGGCTAGATCTAGGCATCTTACATGATATCTTAACAAAATAAATCTTAAAGAGAATACCTACATAAATATTACAAAATGCTCTCTGGTTATACTCAAAGAGAAGAGCAGGACATTAAAATCAACTACCAATAGATTCAAACACGTCATTGAAGAGAAACTAGAATATCGATTCTTTCTATATTTTACTACAAGTCGATTCCCCAGTCATACTTCAACACGGCAGAGGGATTACAGCAGATTATTTAAATTATATGTTATTCACAACATAAACGAACCAACAAATATAAACCACATTTCTATAATAGGAGATCGTAAAGCATGATTTCTAAAGCACATGAATTTAACAACAAAATAAAGAGGGTAGAGTTATATTTACCTTTTATGGGGCAATGAAACTGAAGCGCAGAGGTCGTTTCAGATCTACCCCTTTGGATTTCGAATTGAAACTTGAGAGAGAGATAGAATACAAAATTGAAAGTATAAATATGATTTTTCCAGAATTTCCCCCCCTCCTTCGGCAGAGAGCTTAAGAAAGTATATATAAATGGAGGAAGAAGCTAGGGTTCAAGTTTTGAGCGCAGTTGGAGTTTTTTTGTTTAGAAGACGAAAGGGTGAGGGAGAGGCGGTCGTTAGAGAGAGAGGAGAGTGAAAATCAAACCCTAATTTGGGTTTCTAGTAGGGATGGCAAGCAGTGCTGGTGTGGGAAGGGTTCTGACTTAACCCAAAAATCTCAACCTGCCCCGCATAGCTTTTTTAACCC